CTGCGTTACCAAGGGACAGCAGTGCAATTTTGCAACGATGGCTACAGAATCCTTTGTCCCGATGAAACAGGCACCACGGAATCGAGCACATTGAAAAGTATGACTTTCATCATTAACAATGCAAGCTCTTCCAAAGTAGGCCAGGCGCCAAATGGCTGTAGGGTTTTATGAGACATCAGCCGAGTATAATTATTTACCTATGCTTTCTAAATTGAGTAATCAGCAAGCTTTCCATCGGATCACGTGATTAGAATTTACTTTATGTTATGAAGCCTCTAATACCTCTAAAATTATTCAAAAACTACTAATAATCGTGATCAGACTTGATCGAATCTTACCTGGGTGCCACGTTTAATTTTACACAACTTAGAATACCGCACGGTATTTATATTTAAGTATAACAGGATAGTTCCCCATTCAAATTAAGTCTCGGTCATTGGACTCCGCTAAAAAAGAAATATCATTTTTGCAAACTTCGTTGGAAATATTTACAGCATTCTATGTGTTAGTGTACAAAGACCAACTCTGCTACATATTAGAGGATGGATTTTCAAATTCCTTTAACGCACCGATTACAGTAATTTAAATTTAATATTTCAATGGCCAAAAAGACTGCTAAAAAGCATAGAACAAGCTGAAGAATTTACGACGAACGAAATCAGCAAGCTGACTTAATAAAAGGACGTTTGTACTTATTTCTCGTTTAATAACAAACCAGCCTTTCCTTGACATCTGATTTACATTTCACGTGAAGCCTTACCGACTAAGTTGGGCACTTGGGTCCTCTTCATTTTTACATAAATTTTGACCTATACTGTGGGCTTCGTGGAAGGAGCCCTGATTTAGGCGCTCAAATTTCTATAAACGAACTCAAACTGAAACGTTTTGTGCAGAGAATTTACAAAGTGATATAGTTAAAAGACTTCACAGGTCAGCCGTAGATTTTCTTATACCATTTTTTGTTATGATGATTAACGTTGTCACCTTCTAGTAGTCTGTAATCTTGTAGAGATCTGTTTAAAATACCTATGTCCAATGTTCTCTTTCCTGTCACATTTAAGCACGACTAGAATAGAATTATTGACATTACTTATCATAATATCTTCTTCAGTTTAAAAACGTGATGAGCCAAAATGTGTTAGTCACTTTGGCAGTGTAGAAATTTGGAATGGGAGTTTCTTCTAAACTATCAAATTTCAAGTAACTGCTAAGGCACGCTACAAATGTCGGCATTCACACAAATGATGCAGATACACCTTGTAGGCGTCAGCTTAATTGGTAAAATGATAGACTAGCAGTAAACACAATTAACTGGTAACCTACTATTTCACACACCTTACTGCATTTATTTCGAGAAATTTCACTTTTGCCTAATGCAGGTTGCCGCCGTGTCTGCCAGGCTGATGGAACCTGGTCTGGAAAGACCGCTGAATGCATTCGTAAGTGCATTACAGTTAATATTGCTTATAATGTACAACAACCAGAATACTATAGGTAGCTCCCACTGATTCACAAGCTACAACCAAGTACTGATCAAAATTGTAAAGCCATCCTATGGACAAGCACCGTACTTCTATTGGCAAGGCGAACTGGTGTCAGACACCACTAAACAAGTACTATGGAAGACAGGCTAGAGTTTAACTCAGTCCTATTTAAAAAGTGCCACGAACGAAATACTTGCAGTTGCCGTCCACACATTTATAATTTAACTTCTTTGGCGCCCTTGTTAAGCGCCAAAAAATAACTCAAACCAATAGACAGATTTCTAAATCGTGTGATTATTGGAATAACTGATTGGTAGCAGTTTTGGTTTGGCGGTAACTGCCAGTCACTAGTTCCCACAACTATGTACATTCTCTTGACTAAAAGTCATTGATGTCGAGTTTTTCGCAATGTTCAATCCCACGATTCAACCCGACACACGCTTTAGCTAATTTATCATAGAAGCGCATATTGTGTTGACAGCAAACCGCCAAATTACCAAAGAAAATTGTCGAGTGCCAGCAGTAAGCTATTTTGCAGCCAAACAAATTGTGTTGCAGTTTGAAAAATGTTATTTTGTTCCTTTTTATTCCGATAAAGATGTTTGTAAGCTTGTAGGACCAGTTTAAATCATGAGGATCAAATGAGATTTGGCAATCATTCAACGGACAAGGTAGGCCGCAAGACCTTTGAACGAAAAAAAGCACTAAAACTCTAAAACGAGAAGGCGATTGTGTTTGAAGAACTTTGGTACTTTGATTTCAATTTACATACCTAAGTGCGCTAAACTGAAATTCACTTAATAATCATCAATTTAAACACACATAGTCAAAGTGAACCACCATCCAACATACTAGGTATAACTGCGCCCAAAACTAGGACAGTTAATTTATTAAAAAATGAGTTGACAAATGAGGATAGATGGCTTGTCTATCTTAATGGGGAATGTTCTATCACTTTGTGTCTGGCATGCAGTCGCATTGTGTTAGAAGTAGACATCCTGAACGACTGTGTCAACCATTCTAGGCAAGCTTTCGATTTATTAATAGGGTTTTCTCCGAATAATAGAAACCACTAATAAATGCACGATGGCCTTACACTTTTCTGTTTTTTAAGTGCAAAATTTTGTCTCTTTCTGTACTCTAATCGAGGTCTCAGCCCTGATTCATTCAAAGTTGATGTGGTGTTATTGTGATGTCACTATATGCAAGCAGTGACAAAGGTTGATCATGCTTTAATCCAAATAACTGTTTTGTAGCTGTGACCTGTCCCAAACTTCAGCAGCCCGAAAATGGTTTCATTTCGAGTTATCTTACTAAAGTGAACAGTATCGTAGCATTTGAATGTGCTGAGGGATTTGAGTTAAGAGGCTCCAGTTTCCGAAAATGTCAACCGACCGGTGAGTGGGACGGTGAACCCGCATCGTGCCAAGGTAAGATGCCCTAAAATTCTGTTCACGTATTTTTTTTTCAAAAAGAGGTGTCAGTAATTGGACATATTTTAATAACCAATTACAAAAAAGATTGAGAGGAACTTCACTATTAAAGGCCAAATTTCACACATATTTCACGTATCCTGCACGCGTACTCAATTATACTGTTTATCGTTTACTATAAAATTATGGTTTTAGAAAAATCTGAATAGCTACCAAAAGTTAGAAATATATTATTGCAAAACCCATTCCTTAATACTAGGAAGAAGTTGGTTGTTTTAGTTCGAGACTGTGGCCCACCACCCGAAATACCCAACGCGGTAGTCAAATTTTCGTCAACCACATACCGAAGCAAAGCGTACTTTAGGTAAGACACAACCTCCTGCACGTTTTATCTCTTTACTCATTAAGTTGAATGGCTATGTTTCCAGTAAACTAGTCCAGGTTGGGGAGAAAAATATAGCTGAGCCGACAGCTTAGGAAAATAATTGGAGGTCGCTGAGAATTTTGTTGCTGTACTTCACATTGCACAGCTCTCACCTTCAGTTATAAATCAGTCGAGTTAAATGAAGCATTATGAGGTCTAATGAGGGAGCTGAAGTCGTTGACAGCCACCTCCCGCGAATTTATCACCTGTTACTCATCCTAGTTGTTGGTAGTTTTGTATAACTGAATTATAATATAACACTATCTTCATTTACGCTTATAGCTGCCCGCTAAAAGGGCATCATCAAGCAAGACAATTTCACAGACTGAACAGTCTGCAGCACAGGATTTGTTCAATCACAAGTTGCTTTAACTGGTCACGCACAATGGCAGTTAAAACAAAGGGTGTTACCTATTCAAGACCTAAATATTAGTTATATTGTTTCAATTTAGCAACTAGCACCCTGAAATTCAGGCAATTTTGGCTACGTCTCTGAACTCACAATAATCCTCGTTACATTTATGCACCTAGCTGCGGAGCCGGAACGAAGTCATCCACATCAGCATCGGAATTGACCTGTGGGCAGGTGGGAAACAACACTACATGGCTCCCATTACCATACCCCGCATGTCTCAGACATTGCAGTGTCCCCGCCATAGCCAGCGCGAAAATCTCACCTTTAACTACTGACGGTAGTCCAGATGCCAGAATAGTTACCACGGGGACGCTGATGCAACATGGCTCAAAAATCGCTGTTATTTGCCAACCAGGCTTCAGCCTTTCGGAAGGAATGTTTGTGTTAAATCAGGGCTTGTTCAAAACCATGGATTGTGAGAATGGAAAGTGGAGCCGTCACTTTAAATGTCAACCGGGTAAGATAGACCCCACCACCAAGATTGTTACCTGCTTAAGACAATTTGAATAAACCTAGCTTCAATTTAGTATCAAATAAGGATGCAATAGAAGCAAATTGTTTAAACAGTGGTGATAGTGATTCTCCATTCGCAAACCCAAAGAAAATTCAAAACGACGGTAATTTTAATAACGGTCTGTAGCTGTAGTCATTTTTCACGCGACATTTTGATTTAGGGGCATGGCAATGTAGGTGAATTAAAAAAAGGAGTTTTAGTCAACAAGCAATTTACCTCGTTGTATCTTAAAGTTTCTCACTTTAGCCTTATGGACTGTTTTTGTGCAGACCGAAATTACAACAGCATATTACCTAAACATCTATGCCATCGGTAATGAAATGAAAAGCAAAAGAAGGCCTGCGATCGATAAACGTCAAATGAAACTACCACCACATGAAACCCGTTGACTTGGTATTAATTTCGCCAATTTAGTAACTACGCCTTACATATGTCTAGATGCTTAAACTATAGGTAATAATATGAAAATCCAGACATTCGAGGACGGCTAAGACAGCAACGAGAGCAAGCTAGAAAATGAATTTTGAAGTCAATTCCTTTTATCTATGGTCGGTGAGTCATAAGTAGCTTCAAATCACGTGCCACTAAATTTCGAAGAAACAAACTACAAACCAGGCGCTTTTTTTCAATTTTTAGCCCGATGCACGACCCGACCACCAAACATTCCAAACGCCTTGACTCGATTCTACAGTCTCCAACACGGCTCAGTAGTACGCTATCAATGTTTTCCAGGCTACAGACTAAACACCAGTTATTCGGACGTTGCATTGCGATTGACCGCCAATGCTAGCGAACTAAAAAATACCTGGCCCCTCAACCAGGATCGACTCAGTGTTAAATGTGAATATGGTGTTTGGAAAGGAGAACTACCCTCTTGTATCCAGGGTAAGAAATACATCTCCCACATTTCCTAATGTTCACGTTTTAAGAAAATTGTGGCTTATAAACAAGTCTTATGTTTATTAAAAATCCAGTTATATCGAAAGATTAACTATGAATATCAAGTATTGCTACGACGCTCTTTCACCTCAAAGAATAATCACACTAATCAAAGACCATCGACCACGTGTCTAGTAACTTTTAACATCCAGATATACCACTCCAGGTATCCTCTCACTCCAAGTGAAGGCTGATGAAGACATCAAGACACCTGATAATGAGTGAATAGCTACTGCTATACTCGACAGAATCTCCGATGCATTTTGAGGATTTATAAAAGATATTGGTTGATTCGTTAATAGCAGCCTCAGTATACTGACAACATGGAAAAAACACATGACGCAAACCGGTAGGCGAACACCAAATCCCCGAGGGCCACATATGTACGAAAAAATAGATTTCAACAGGAGCTGTCAGACAAAGAATTTAATGCATTTCAAACCTGGCACCATGTTTTGTTCTAGTACGCTGTAGCCGGCCCCCTGTGCCCACAGGAATCGAAATATATCTTATCGGTGCTCGAGGTCGGTGGCCCTTCGACAACAACCAGATTCTCCCTTCGCATGGCGCCGCCGTGGAGTTTAGCTGCGTATCCGAAGACCACCGAATACAGGGGCCTCGGTACACCTTTTGTATTGAGGGACACTGGAGTCCTGCCGAAACACCAAACTGCACAAAAGTTACTCATGATGTCATCCCTCAGTCGTGGTTGTTTTACAAACCTTAATATGACACTGTATTCCTTAAAAGTGATAAAAATTTTCACATATTTCTTGTGGCTTATTTACTAAACAAGACACGCTTTTGGGTTAGGATGGATGTGAATGTAGAGGTATGGCAACAAATTCGGACCCGAGGTGATAACTATTCCCTAAATTCAGCCTTCCAAATATACTACTTTTGATCGAACAAAACGTCGCTATAATCTGAATTTCGTTCCCTATAGATTGCGATTTTTGTGAATAGAAATCGTTTGCCACAAATAATGCACCACATGCAAAACAAATTAATTTTCATTCAAAACCACGGTGTTTTTTAAGCCAAAAACTGACTAGCGTAGAGCATACTAAACCCGACTTGCTGCTATTTTTGCAAAACCCTTTTATGAAGCAATGACTTGTGGCCGCTCCCAGTGGCAAGCGCGGTTGACACATATGGCTACTCCCCCAAATTACTAAAGCGATTTTATTCGCACCACGATGGACTACTAACACCACTTGCCAACAAATAAGATATCCAGGGATGAAACTGGAGTTCTGGTCAAGCAGGTTGGAGAAACACGCATCAAGTTGAATGATTGCTTTTGTCTATCCCGATTATTCCCTGTTCCACTACAAATCTGCCTGATTGCGATTTCTGTACACCGAAACAATGAAGCAAATTTCTCTCATCTCACATCTTGAATATCAAAAAAATATGACTACACTAAATTCAATCACGTTTGGGAAGGCTAGCATTACGGATACTATGGTCGTGATTCCTCGAGGAAGCTAACTAATGTACAGCCAAAACCGTGAACACTATCCAATAGCAGCATACCGCTGTCTAAATTGAATATAAACTGTGGAAGAGGTACTTATTTAATTCACAAACATTTACTCTTGAAAGTTTGCTATTCAAAGAGGAAGAGGATCTTTGAGAATACAAATTCCTTCTTTTTTTCATTTTACGTCGTTCTGACTGCCCTTAGAAGTCACCCACCTACTTACCGGGCTTCTCATATTTTCCTCAAGGAACTAAACTTGAATTACGTCAAACACAATTTAGCTTTCATGTAATGGCTTTTGAGCAGGAATCAGCGTTCTGAGGTTCTTGAAGGCAAACTTCAAATCGTTTGTGATTTTTAACAAAGCCTAGCAAATTGATTTGAATTGCCGAAGCCCATAATTGGTTGTGGTTAATTGGTCATTTATCTTGAATCTATTTTGGCCTTTAATCGTTTGGGTTAATGGGTTCGACGTCATACTCAAGTGGTTTAAAACAGATATGAAAATGCAAAAAAATCTGGGACTACTTCCTTCAAACCAGGTAACTTTTCTTCGATGAGTTACTGCAAGACAATGATCAAAGCACGTGTCGTTTAAAGAGATTAGCATTTACTATAATGTAGTCGATGGTGCCAGAAAATACCAACCAATGAACTTAAATGTTTAGCACGCAGTTACTACTTTGAAAAACTTTGAAAAAAGCAGAATATCAAAATTAAAATCGAGATAAAATATTGTAACATCGTCTGCATGCTTCTTTAGTGTTTACGTATTTTGGCTTTACACCAGCTTTCACATTACTAGCTTCCTTGTTTATATTTTGAGTAAAAGAACAAAGTTCAGATTGAACATGGCTCCAGACTGGTATTCACAATGCTACATTAATCAATTACGGTTCACGGTAGATAAAGTATATCCAAATGCTATATCAGCCGTGGAAAAGTCTCAGAACGTCACATTAAAGCTTAAGAACATAAAACCACGAGCAAGGGTTTTGAAAGACATCTACCCACTGTTTTCTATTAGCCACACTGGCTGGCGTGATGGAACCTTATGCACAGCCTGCGATGGTGAATGAGTTTACACGTCTTTTGGAGGACTACACCATTCTGGCTTCTAATCTTGGCCCGATTCAAGCAAGATTTTTTTTACTACACGTCGGAGTTCTCTTTCGGTTTACTTAAGTGACTAGGCTCAGACATGCAATAAGACCTTAAGCCACCTTTCCACTGATTCATTTATTTTCCCTAAATAAATGGTTAGTTCCGCATTAGATACCTACACCAAACTCGAGAACATGTTGGAGAGCGACCACGGGTAACACACTACCTCCGAACTCCCCATTGCAACGCGCCAAGCGGATGTCGTCTTCTGACACAACGAAAACGCTGATAACTATAGCTTGAAAGGTGTTCGAATCTCCAAAAGCACGCCGACAATCTAGTAAGGGGCAATATATCAGGGCACGGGTGCTGGCAGAATTCAAGAATTACGACTCAGCGAACTACCCTCAAGTTTCGTACTACCCAAATGCCTGGCTTGGCGTATTTAGTCGCGTCCTGCTGAGCACGCACGGCTCCTAGAGGTGACAACTAACTTGATCATTGATGTTAAGGGCGTTCCCAAAATTCACATAAACCCGACGCCTAGTAAGCAATTTTCATTCAATGTCTCAATTCCTATTTTGATTGGCAAAAGTGATTTATTGACAGCCATATTCATGGCATGTGTTCACTTCACAGCGAACCAGTAACGTATTACATTAATAATGCCTAATACCTAATAATAGTGGGTAGCTTTAAGCATCAAATATTTAAAATAAATCTGCACTCATATTGTGACTGGTCATTTGGCCGTTACCTTCAAAAATTACCTTAAACGATTAATTGAATACATGAGACAGACTAAAGTATATATTTATCTCCCACAGCAAAATAACCAGAAGGATGAAAGTAAAAACATCAGTCCGTAGTCTATAAAGACGTTGTGACGATCTACCAAAAGGGTATTATCGTCTAGGAGATACATTGAAATAGAAAACTACGGCTTGATCTAAATCCATTATTTAGTTAGAGTTGATTCACGATTTGTTCCTCGTAACTTTTTATATCCCAAACAACAAATACATATATGCAAGAAAGATGGTGTATTGAAGTGAAGCGTAATGAAATCTTACAAGACCGTTAATGTTCACTTTCTGGCGTACGTAAAAGGAAAGGTCACCTCCGTCAGAAAGATCTTTTCGAGCAATGTCGGAGGCAGGGTAGGAAGGCAATGCTAACTCGCAACACACAGAGAGAGACGCCCTTCAGCAGGCGGACCCCAGAAGGCTATTCAAGAAAAGGTCAATATTATTAAAACTCCGCTCACTCCCACCAAACAAACAGACAACCTTGCCAGCCACCGATTCCTCGTCTACGCCTGGTTTCAATTGCTGGGTGGTCAAAGACACCATAAAAGCAAAATCTTTTCAGCATCCGCCAACATAACGTTTTGGGAAATCCTATGAAGGTACAAATTTTCACGACTCTCCTGGAAAAAAGACCACAACTCCAATGGGCTAATTAGAATGTGTGAGCGAAAACATGGTCATCTGTCTCGGCACGAGCCGATTTATTGAAAATTCACCAACGGACGAAAATTAACGACGACCCACTCAGTTGAGCAGTAAGCGCACTATCACTGGCTTAAAATGGGACGGCAACAAACGATTAATCAAAAAGTGACGTAACATAATACATTGGACGACTAGTGGGCACATACATTGCGAAGACAGGTTCCTATCAGTGATAACATCAGGGAACGTCACAACTAACGATGTGAGAGGCCCGGACGCACCTTTTCTGCAATTAGTCTAAAGTGTAACCGTGAAAACCCCAGTTTTAGTAGACAAAAACTACCGAGTAGAGAAAAATCACGTCGTCTATAAAGAAATGGAAGCGCGTTGATAAATAGGGCGTCCAAACAGGTTCCTTTCGAATTACAAATCTCGTGCTTCTGGTGATTTGCGCAAGCCGACGGGGCCGAGAGCCAATTATTGGAAACAGCCGACCAGGATGCGGATGCACTCAAAACTTACTGTTGTTATTGTGACTGGCGCAACTTCCTGATCGCAGACTTCAAGTAATCCCTGGCCTTGAGTACCAAAAAGTCACCACCACGATTACATGGAGATCGCGCGAAGGGCAGACGAAACTCCTGCAGGAGCTGGACCACCTGAGAGAGACTGAGCGTGCCATGTCTGTACAACAGCAGAATAAGCACTGGCAATAATAACAGCAGCAGTATAAAATTTACAGCGGGATTTACGATGACGTTCGCACCTTAAGTGACAAATACTACACAATAACAAGGAATAAAGACCCCGGCCCCATCTACAAAGGACGCAATTAGAAAATGACTCAGGTATCAATGAATTTAAGGAATTTCGAATCTTGGAAAACCGCAAGTACTGTACAAGTTGGGGTGGCCCCACACTGCGGTAAGGAAGGGAAAAATCCAATGCGAGCAAGTTCATAAGCGTGGTGGCGAGACAAGAGTGCATAGCGACTATCGGCCGCGATTTTTTGAATTGCAGCTGCTACTGGGATCGGTAACACGCTTACTCGAAGACTGGCCGTTGAGATACTTAGACGAAGTCGACTTTGAGGACCTTTTATCGGGGTCAGCCCGGGGGTTTCTGTGAGGAGATGTCTTTATGCGGGAAGAAGGCTTTGAGGGAGATCGATCGGAACGACTCGATGTAGACGAGTAGCTGGAGACGGAACGTGATCTGTGACGTCGTCGGTACTTACCGTCATTGTAGGGACTCCGCGAACGCTTTTTGTGTCGGTCGCGACGGCGAGAGTGGGACAAGGGACCCTTACGCAGGAACGTGGCTGGTACTGGAGAAACTGATTCATCACTACCACTACTATAAGAAGCACTTGCAGAAGAGTATCTATGTTTTCGTGATTTTGAGTTCGTAGAACGAGAAATAGGACTACGAGAACGATTATGAGCTTTGTGGGTCTTGCTTGACTTGGACTCGATTTCACTATAGGCATTCGGCCGGCGTTTTTCCAAGGTTCGATATCTGAAATAAAAGTTGACAACGTAAAGCAGGCACTCTACTTATGTAATGACACCAATAAGATAAACTCACACAGAACCCTTCGAGTCTTTGGCAACAGCGAAACAAACGCCGTTTTCCTCAGCAGACATGGGCTTGGTAGGTTCCTGTGCAGATTCAATTTTGCGAATCACTTTTGCGCACGATACCTCTGAGAGTTGACCCCGCATTTTAACACCGTCTGGAAGAGCATGTTCCTCATTTGTTACAAGGGAAGAATTGCTTGAACTTAACAGCGTGACATTTTTACCAATGACAACTGCCGCAGCGGCAGCATCTCTAGCAGCAGCGGCTGCTGCAGCCTCTTTTTCTTCGGCCTGTTTTTTGCGCAGTTCAGCTAAACGCGACTCTAGTACGCTAACGTTAGGTTTTTCCCTAGCATATAAACGCTGAAGGCACAAAGCGATTTCATGAACAGATTCTTCGTCAACATTAAACATTTCCCACCATGGAGGATGCCGAGGAAGTGGAATTTCGAGCCGTCTTGCAGCAAGAAAAATACACGCACAAGCCACTGCCTCTGGTGTGTGACGAACGAAGACATCCGTGCGGAGGACATCGTTCATACAATTCCTAAGACAAAAAAAGGATTTGCTAAACTAGACGACTTCTGGAGTTAGGTGCTTATAAAATTGAAAATACCAAGAAATTTGGCTGCGCGGTGATTTTACAATCAAAATACCTTAATCCTAGTGTCACGTACCAGAGATTTTCGTGTAGAGACAAAAAACTTACCAAGACGTTTGGACGAATTTCTTGTTCTCCTGGAACGATAGGGATTTCAGGTACATAATTATGAGCTAAAAAGAAATGCGTAAACGTAACCTACTTACTTTATGAGGGTGCTTCCCATGCACACAAAATCCCAATTCCTTTAAAACACGACGCTCAGCCTTAATGATATGGTTCTTTAAATTGGCATACGCCTGGTCAAAGATAACAGGGGTGAATTGTCTACAGCTCATAGATGAACTGGGTATGACAGCTTACTTTCCCTCACGAGCTTGCTTAATGTGGTGAAATACGTTAATTATCTCTCGAATGCGCCTTGGACACTCCTCAATTTTGGCCGCCAAAAATATGCACGCCATCGAGTAATGCTAAAAATTCCCTCTTATTAAAAGAAAGGCTTGCCTCATACACGTATCGAACAAAGGACTTCGAATAAAAATATCGCTGATAGAGGACTTGGGCAGTTGCCATGGCCACCTGGGGTAGTTTAAGAAGAATTCCGGCATCTTGAATAAGTTCACAGCCGAGGTAGCGCAATTCAAATTCTGTTTCCGCATCAAGACCATCTACATTTGACGGAGTAGGTGAGAGTTTTTCAATTGGAATGACGTAATTGTCAATGGACAAGTGCACACCGGCATACTCCCAGGAACAACCCGCCATTTTCCTTGCCACAAATTTGCCGGGCACAAACATAAACCTCATTAAAATGAAATGCAAGGGCATGATTTTTCTATTAAAATATTACACTCAAAAAGAAATTAATTCTTTTGCTGTGTTCTAAAATTTACCACGTATCAAGAGCGCTAATTGAGTGACAGCAAAGTTGCTATTGCCTAATTATTTATTCCCACAGTCAGTGTGCCATACACAGTGTGCCCGAATCCGTGGTGCCTGTTTCATCGGGACAAAGGATTCTGTAGCCATCGTTGCAAAATTGCACTGCTGTCCCTTGGTAACGCAGGTCAGAGGTATACAGCGTTAGTCCATTTTCTGGGCCTTTTATCTCCTGGCAGGAAATGCCTTGAAAATCAAGAGGACAAACTAGTTTACTTGACACCATTCATGTTAAATCCACAATTTTATTGGATAGGTAGAGGTATCGATTATATTCAGCTGAATACGCAAGGATTTTGAAGTGAACTCACCTTAGCAAAGCCGTTTTAGATAACGCAGCTAGAGTTGTTTGGGTGCTGCCGTGCAAGTGCCATTAAAGCAACCTAAACATTCATGAAACCTTTCCCATAATGCAATTTAAGTCTACCAAATGCTGTGAAAGTGTGTGTGTGCCTAGGTTTGAATGCCCTGACGTGCTCATAATCTTATCAAAACCGATTGCTCTGTTTTTGAGTGTCGACTGAAAGACCATGTAGTTCACTCGAGAAAATAAGAGCGCATTAATTGTATTGAAACTATGCTTTGAAAAAAAAAATCTATTTTACGTTGGCAGTCGAGTTTGTCAAACTTCCACTGATTTCCCACGCAGACGACAGTGATGTATTTGCGTTTAGCATCCACAAAGCCGGGACGACACGCCATTGTTAATGATTCACCATTGCGATAATCAGTTCGGCCTGCCGTAGTGTCTTCTATTATCACTGCGTTTTGCAGGTAGGGTGGAGAGAAACAATCTGAAATGTTATGGCATTATGGTTTAACTGATGATATTTCGTCCCATAAAAGTAAAATATGCTGCCCTAAGACTCTACTATTTGCTAAGTAATGCTTATTTGCTACATTCAAGAAATGGAAATGTGTTTGGCAGCAATGGATTTTCCGCATTTAATTCCTAAAATATGGAAAACCGCTAGTTTTGCTACTAAACTTTGACTTTAACTTTTGAGAATAAAGGTTTTTGTGATCGTGTCTGGTAAACACCGTTTGAATAAGGAAATGAGTTGATAGAAAACAGTAGCCAGGGTTCAACAGATGCACAACTTTGTCCACTTGTATAGCGGAATCGTGAGCACACTGGTTGTCTCAATGTCTAAACAGGCTATTGCTACCTAATGCATCCTATAGCTGCACGAAGTTCAGCTAAAACTTCAAGGAATGCTTGCTTAATTTGGAATCAGTGAAAAGGTCACTTGTAGCACGGCAACAGAATGCAGGTAAAGTTTCTGCAGTAAACATTTTAGAAGTTGAATTTTTACCATATTTTTGTTTCACATCGGCACTTGCGGTAACGCCGTACCGTATTTTATGTGCTGCAAAACGAGCTTTAGTCAGATAATGCTTGTTCATTATGACAACTTAATGTGCTAATATCGGAGTTTTTGCATCGATAATTGGGCTGCTATCTCCTATGTATGGGAATATGTTGCAGGGGCTGTAAATTACTTTCGCATGGAAACATAGTTAAGAAACTTGTTTTGATTTCCTTTCCTTTAAACCACATCCCAATAAAAATAAATACAGTGGCCGTCGTTTTGTTTTTTGCTGTGTATCTGTAGATACGGGTTCGTGGATTCCTCCGAGTGGTGGTTTGTGGGTTCGATCAATACTTCAGTTTACCCTGATGCACATGCTTGCGTATTTAATGCTTGTGAATTGGCCGAGCAATAATGCAGATGCCCGCAAAATTTGTAAGTGTGCCACGTTCTTTCTTTTGCTGTCGAGACAGAGACGATTTTTTTGGTAACGGCGATCACAAATTTCGGAAATTTGTAAGTGATTACTGAACCTTTAAAAAAAGTGGTTTGGTAGTTTTCAAGCTTCCAGTACCTTCCCCGCTACCATTAAAACATCACTGCATCTTTGGGCATTGGCTTTTCTGCCTCGAATCCATCAAACAGGTATTACGTTCTTTTCAGTATGAGAAAGATCGCCTTTTGGATTTTGTGCACATTAACCAAACTAACTTGAGTGATGAGAAATCTTACGGCCATTTTTACGCCATAGATTTACGAACAACATATATTGGATGGCTTTTCTATTCATTTGTTTGGGTTTTCGCGATTCGGCGCTGAATTTTGGGTTGTCGAATATTTCCGACCCAAATTATATTACTTTTTCCAAAATTAAATTAATGCAGCACAGTTTTACGTAGTTTGGTCCTTAGTTTTGGTGAGTAAATGTCGTTTAATAAGATGCATAAGAACACTCTAAAGCAGAGACCATTAAGCTCAAATAAATTTGCATTTCGTCTATTGAAATATCTATTCTGTAGAAACAAGTTCACACATTTATGATGCGAAAAAAACAGGCAACGTGAATGCTCTCTGTGAGTACATGCTGTTTTGGAAACGCGCTCTTATTATCCAGGTTTTCAATTCAAATGTTAAGAGCATATTCTATGGAAGTTCAGCTTGCTATAAGGAGACATTCTTTTGGACTAGATTATTTGCAAGTTGTTGACTAAAACTATTTTCACGCATTAAATAGGAATGTTAAAAGTATCAAGTAATGCCTTTTGATTTGGTATCAGAATCTTTCCAATTGAAATTAAAATGGTTACTGCAGTTTTTTTCTGAAACGACTACTGTATTCCTAATCGAAATTCAAACTTGTTGCAAAGTGCCTTTACTCGACCCTCCCACATTGTGATCTGCAATGCCAAACCTTGAAAACTTATACGATTCCATCGAATTCCCTAACAGTTAAAGTCAATGAAAGTGGCGAGATGCTTGGGTGCAACTACTGCATTTACACGAATAAATGTTTGTGACCTTTAGTCTAAGATAAATTTCGCGCGTACATTAAAAGTGTAGCGTACTAG